TGAGCGTGTTTCGTCATAGTCTCAAGCTAGTCAGAGTATGCACCGGATGACTCAAATCTAAACGCTATTGATTTGAGTGGATGACCCTCCAACGTAATTCGTGATGAAGTCAGAATTGAATGATTGATTTCTGAACAAGGCAGGTAGATAAGAGGTCTTGCATTTCAGCATAAATTAAAAACAATCGCAAATTGAATGCCAAAAACATCACCACAAGAAAGAAACGAATCTGCTACAGTTGAGGCAGTAACGGTTGTTGGCGTCAGGGTTCTTGTTAATGGCATTAAGTTTGTTCAGGATATCTCGCCATCATGAGCTCTAACGGTCAATTGCCCTGAAATTTAGTAGGTGATCTGTTCTTGCAAAGATGTTTAAAACATTAGGGGTTTAAGATGCTGAAAGCATTCATTCATCACCGGGGCGTTTGATCGACTATGCCTTCTCGGTGTTCAACTATATGTATATTTTCTGCCAACCTAACAGCTGCTGTCATCAGCTTTGCTTTGCAATCACAACAGTCCAATTCTACTAAAAGTTCTTACGATTTTTGTTTACGTTAAACAACTGGCGTTCAGTCAAGAAATGTAATGATCAAATTTTCATTCATTTTCAAAGCATGTTTGTTTTGTGTATTGTTCTCACCTTCTTGAATTGTTTCACCTTGAATCATCTATGTATTTAGCATCTAGCTTGTTTTACTGCTCCGCTATAGGGGCAGACACTTGCCAGAAGGTGCCGGTTACTGCATCGCATAAAGAAATACTTCTATCCGATAGCAGAACTTCCTCTACCTTTTCCCCCCATTTTGTGCGTTTGCAGTGTTTCGGCTCCCATTCGATAAACTGGCTGGTTGAAATAAATGACTTGTTCTCAACCAGTTTCTCTTACAGGGCTAACTTCCTAATATCAGGTTTCAGATCTACCGAGGTCACCTTTGCCAAGAAGGAATCGAGTCATTCCTTACGTGGCCCTGCAATTTACCCTGCAATGCTGGTTCAAGCTAACCACGCTGCCGTGTGCGGTTAAACCTTCGTTCTCCTCCTTTGTTAGAGCAACTGTTTCCTTGCAATGCAACCAAACTGACCTGACAGAGACAAGTGTATGAAAATTTTGTGAAAGGAGACACTCTTTTCTGACCTGGTGTTCGATAAATTTCGAGAAGCATTCGAGGCTAGCACAATGGTCAGTTTAACTCTTCTGGACTCTTCCACAATTGAGATGATGAAGCCGAGGTATTTAAATTGGTCAACCTTCTGAACCGCTTACCTCCTTGTTCTAGATCATTCGTGACAGATCGGTTAACCATGATTTTAGACTTCATCACGTTGCGGAAAGGACAGGTTGTGTTGTGCACGAAAGACGTTAAAGTGACTAATGTCGCTCCCCGCTCTACTAACCTGGAACAATAATATCCGCTTCTTCCAGGTCAACAAGGTATTTAGCTGAATAACTTGAACTACGCCTTCCTTTGAGAGTGAGACCATATACGTTGTCAAGGAAAGTACTGTTTCAGAGCAGAAAGTCGAGAAAAATGTGAAACAATAAAAGCGAACGCACATCATGGCAAACTCTACAGTTAATAGGGGGCTGACTGTTCAGATGACTCTCTGTCGATTTTAGCAGCAGGCATGGTTACTGTATATGACTCCTCAAAATGGAAATGAAGTGCTCAGGTATTGTATTGCTTTTTGGGATTTTTTTCGTCAGACTCACTACTGAATCAGATGCAATCTTAAAGGCGAAGAAAATGGGCAAACCGAGGCACTTCAAGTTTTCTCCATTGCTGAATGAAAATTGAAATGAAAATTTCGTTGCGGTAGGAACCCGCCGTAAGTCTGACATACCGTTTTCTCTAGTTAGCTTAAGTACTGGTTTCTAATCTACTCTGACAGTTTCTTCGATTTCTAGACCTTCGATGGCTATTCACCGATGACCCAACTGTATGTTTGGATTTTTGGCATGCCAGCAACCGAGCGAAAAATTACTAATTAATTTAATAATTGAAAATTTAATTATTGATAAAACGGAATTATTTTGCATTAAAAACTGGTTAGACAGTATTAATATTAAACAAATCCTTGCAGTTAAAGAATAGACCATCCGGTGAACGAGAATTACATGCCTAATTTTGTCGTCAGAGGAAGAAAAACGCGTGATATAAAAAACTTTAAAACTTGCTCAAGTTCTCATGCTGGCAAATGAGTCAAAAGTTTGGTGGTTTTACGTAGCTGCAATCTGCGAACTGTAAAATTCGCAGTCATATTACATAGTCAGCGAAGCGTCACTCGATACGTAAAGTAAATATCTCCAAATCAACCGTATATTCACTACGGGAAAGTAGGAAATGATGAGGCTATAAGGTTTGTTCCTGTTAGGAAGGAAATTCGTCATGGAAGCTTACTGCTTTGTCAATATCACCTAAGAATCACGCTTGTCAGAGTTCATTAAAGCACATGAAAATTTTTTCTAATTAAATGAGAGTTAATTCGCGGTAAGAATAAAACAAGGAAAACACATGGTTGTTTGAATGATTCATGGTTCGGAGAACCAAATGCTACAGATGACAAACAATTTAATGCCAACGCGTTTCGCGACACAGACCGCAGCGTCATCAGGGATGGACTGAGTATAACTGACCGCTTGAAGGCATTCATGTCCAACAAGCAAACAACGTAAGTTTTTAATTGGCTCATCACATGCAGTCAAACGGTTGCTCAATTGTCTGAACAAAGTATAATGACATTGCAAACTAAATCGGATCGTTGTCGTTTTAGCCCAATTTTGCGCATCGTTTCTGCAATTGCGCCCCAGCTTTAACTGATGACAACAGAAGATGTGTATTTTGTGTGCATTCGGTATTTTGTTGCCAGTGTATGCAAGAAGTCCTTTATCAGCAGACC